ATAAGTACAGAATCTGGAGCATTCCGTAACTCGGATGCCTGGTATCAATAAACCATTGAAAGGTGGGGGCAGTTATTTTAGATTGAAAGAAATTAAAGAGACATAACCTAGTGTATTGAATCCTTTTTGTGTCTTTGTTCAACAAAATAAATGATTAACAATTGTTGTAACAACTGGGAAATTGAAAATGGAATGGATATTAGATGATACGGAATTGTTTTTTCTTAGGTATGTAGTTATATAGGCCAATGTCCTTATTCTTAGGACATTAGGGATGACGCTTCATGATAGCTATGACTTTTAAATGGCTTAGCAAGATAAGTAATAAAGGGAGAAAGACAGCAAAATGTTAACATTTATTGAATCTAGATGGCGTGCATATACATTATCCATTGTACTATGCAACTTTTCTCGGAAAACTTTTGTAATAAAAGTGAATCAGCGTGTCTTCTGCCTATGTGACTTTTCAAAGTTTTGTATCAGCATATACTATGGTTGAAATTAAAAGGACAATAAAGACTTAAAAATGTAACTTGGAATGAAAAAGTGTTGAAGTGATTCCTGGGTCCAACACCAGTGAAATTGATCTTCCCTCTCCTCCTGTCGCCAGGCTGTGATTTAGGAAGGATTCTGTTCTACTTGAGCTTCCAGAGAACTAAAGAGCAAAGTTCCCAATACATTTATAGTCCATTCAGAAGCTGCCCAGAAAGTGGTTGGTTTGTAATAGATGTTCCTGTTACTGAAAACTATTTGTGTGTGGCACACGTATCTGAAGGGGACTTGCCCTATGACAAAGGACGGGCAGATTTAAACCTCCCACAAGCCTTTTGGAATACACAAAAAGTAAAATGCAAAGAAAGAAATCAGGCAAGAAAATATGTCGGCATATGTTTCTAATATTGGGATTTGTAGCGGGGTGAATGCCTCTTGTTTTCTCTGCATCTCAAAGCTGTGTTCCTGAGGTCCAGAAACCATGTGACCATTTTGAGGGAGGATATATTTATAGAAGTATTTTTGAAGACATTTTCATACCAGGAATACATTATTTGCATTCTGCTTTCACAAAGTCAACTGAGTTGGATTATAGGGCTATGGTGTGCTGTTTGGTTATATTTTGAAGATAATTATCTCCTGGTAAAGTAATATTTTGGGAAGTTTTGCTAAGTGTTTCTGACTCATGCCAGCTCTAAAATTTCTAAATCTACAATGAATGGTGACTCATCAGATAGAGGAAGGCTCTGAGCAGAAACCTTGCTAGAATGCACACTGCTCAGGCTTTGTCCTTTAGAAATCTTCCAGCAGTTTACTCTGATTCTCAAGAGATCAATCACTGTCAGGAAATGTAGGTTTTGTGCACACTGTGTCATTCACTCATTCTCCATGTACTGCATTCCTACCCTGTACTATGCTGCAATCAGTGGCAAGCCTTGCCCACACGGTCAACTTGGGTGGAAACCTTTGAGAGCAGTAAGACACTAAAGCTACTCTACATAGAGACCCAGCTTCTCATTAGTGGCAGCAACAGATGATAGGATGGGGGTCTGAGGACCTAGGTCCTGTGTCCCGCCAAAGTCGGGCAAATTGCCAGGGGCTTTTCAGCTGGGGCCCTGTGGCGTCTTCCAGCAGCACTGAAAGTCATAGGTAACAACGTCATACTCAAAAACGTGACGCTAAAAGCTGCAGGAAGCTGGGCCTCCCCAAGTAGCTCCTCACTGAACTGTAGATTGGCTGGGGACTCTGCCGTTTTACAAAGTTTGGTCAGAAAATTACCGTACCTGAATCCAGGGGTAAGATTTCAAGGCAAGAAAAAAGAAGGCTCTTCCCCAGTTGAGGTTCCAGGATGGCCACTTCCTTCCCTAATGAAGGAAGCAAGTTGCAAGTGTCAGATCCTAACCCTAATCTGGGAATGCAAAACCAATCTGTCCGCGGTCAATGCTTTAACCTTATATGCCTCCAGAGAGGCCTAAAGGAGACACCAGGACCAGGGGACATTGAGGGTGGACTCAATTTGGTTGGAAGGGTTGGGACTCAAAGAAGCAGAGATGGGAAAATCCCCTTGGGCACACATAAAAATCTTTCAGTGTATTAGAAAAATCGCTGTGGTTATGGGGCCTTCTGGTATGTGGGAGGACTGAGCACTGAGCTGGGAGAGAGAAGTGTGCTTCAGGTGAAAGATTCCTGCTGTTTTCCCCAGGAAACATCCTTCTACAAGGGTGAAGAAACTTGCAGCAGTTCGGGAGAGAAAGGAGTGTGGATCCCAGCAACTCTTCCCTGTGGAGTTTGACTGCCCCTTTCCTCATAACCTCAGTTAACCAGCCACATCTGGGATCCAAGACCCCATGGGAAAACCCCTGAATTGTCTCCATAATTGGGGGTCCAGACAATACAGAAACGACAGACAGATGAGGCAGTCTGATGGAAGCTAGATTACAAGGAGACAGTGAAGGGATCCCTTAAAAAAAAAAAAATTAGTGCAGACAGAGTCTGGGCAGGATGAGGCCCCGGGGCCCCAGAAGGAAGCGATGGTGGTCTGGGCACGGTGTGCATCTGTACTCTGTCTACCCTGTTTCAGCCTCTTGTGCATGTCCGTTCGCCTAGACAAAGGGGAGACTCGGGGGTTACCTTGAGAGGAGGATATAACTAAAGGCCCAGATAATTCTGTTATGAAACCCTTTCTCCAAGAGTGGGATCGAGCTAGTGATGTGCCAGAGCCAACTCATACTAGCTCCAAGAGCTGACTGCATCCATCTCTTCCCAACTCTGACACCACACTGGTCCTTTGAAACTGGCCATGGTGGGAGTGTTTGCATCATGGAAATTGGCAAATTGCTACTAATTAGGGCTTTGTCTCCCTCATTCCCGGAAAGCTGGTTGTTAAAACATTTACTAGCCATCCACTGAGCCCAGGAAGAAAAAGGCCAGCGGGAGAGAGGTGAACGCAACAGTGAGTCCATAGACGAAGCTTTAAATCCCATGAATCAGCCGATGTACCTTTTCTTCTTCCTCATTGCACCTCCGCAGATAGAGCCATAGAAACGAGATCACTCGACATGCCTTTAGGGAGGACCCAAAAGAAGATGGGATCTGGAAGACGTTTAGGAAAGGTATAGTTGAGACCACACAATTTTGAATACTACTCTGTTTCCACTTAACATTACAGTAGTAAGATTGAAGTACTTCAACTATTCTAGTGTCGAACATTGAACATTTAGGTTGTTTATTTACTATTAGAGTAAGAAATGCATTTTAGCTGACCATGGATGGCAATATATTGTTTAAATCTTGAAAGCTCTAAAATGAAACCAAACCCATTGCCAGAGGGTTTCTGAGGAGCTCCTGGTAGATTCCAGCTGCAGATCTTGGGTTAGCACCTGAGCTCTTAACAACTGTCGCCACCAGGGCTCCTGAAAGCGCTAAGTGGGCAGTTATCTAAGAGCTGCCTTTGAGGGCAGAGAGCTCCCTCTGAGCTCATTTTCAGAAAGCTGGAGATACCAGGACTATACGGACTACATAAATAGTGTTGTGGAAAAACACTTTTGTGCTTAAACTGTTGTCTGCATTTTTTTATTACTTCCCTAGAATAGAGTCTTAGAAGGACCATTACAGCTTATAGGAGTGTTTTTGTTTTAATTAGGATTCTGATCCACCAAATTGCTCTTCCTGAAAGAATATACCAACTTACACTCATATCAGAAAAATATTGTGCTTGTTTTGCCCCAGTCCTGCCAATATTTTCATTTTCAAATGGTCATCTGATCAGTAAAATGTGATATATCATTGTTGATTTAATTTGCTTGTCAGAGAGGTGGACCATTTTTCATGAGGTAATTACCCCGGATATGTGCTCCCTCAAAATGCTTGCCCCAGGCCCTGTGGTGGGGTGTGGTGGAGGCTGAAATTCTGTAGGTTGGGAAGGTGTTGGGAGAGAGTCTGCTGGGACAGACACTAGGTTCCACCTCCAGCTGAGAAGAATGTGCCACATCTGGCTACTCAGCAACCTTGGGGTCAAACTGCCCTGGTCAGTCTGGGCCAGGACAGGTCCCCATTCGGGTTGCTGCCCCTTAAGACACTGTGGGCACCTTCCTCCAATTCTCTGAGAAAGGGATGCCCGAAGAAGAGAGAGGGAACTTTTTCACTCAAGGTTGTTTGCCTGGATCCACCAGGTCCTGAGGGATAATGGTTTTCTTTTCCTAGAGCCGTTTGAAATGTATGGCAAGGGCTCTGTAGCTTGTGTTCCTGGGGACAAAGCCCTAGTCACTTATTGCCACCACCCCCCGCCACCGCGCCCCCATACCTCCAGCTCAGCTCATAGGAATCCGGGCTCTTTCTAGGGGCCCAGTCCAGGACATGTGGCAGCGTAGATGCTCTCAGGAGCATCCCCTTGGCGCCTCACCCAGGACACTGAGGACAGGTGCTGGAAAAGGCACGGTCTTCGCATCTGAAGGTGACTGCCTGTGGTGGCCACAGCTGAGGCTCGTCGCCCACTGGCTGTGAGCCAGAGGTCTGCTCCGGGCCTGGTCTGGCCTTGGGAACCTGCACACGGAGACCTGTCGCGAGGACCAGCCGCCACCCCACCCGGTTCCTAGCACTAGGCGCCTTCTCCACCAGCCAGATGGGAGCTCCTGAGGTCAGTGCGTTGCCACAGGGCCCGGGAGGGGCTGGGGTTCGTGGGGTCACGCGAGGTCCTGGGGGTACATGTGCACGAGACGCACAGTCTTCTCCAGGGTGCTGGAGCGGGCGCAGCCCTGTCTGTCCAATGCGGGGCTTGCCTGGCTTCAGCGCCTGAGGCTGGGAAGATGGGGGAGGATATGGGTAACATTACTCAACTGCTTGTATTTCTCCGGCCAGGGATGAGGGAGCCGCCTGGAGCCCAGCCCGCGGGAATCCGGGATCTTTCTAGGGGCTCCGAAGTCCGGGCGCATAGCAGACCTCGGACTTTCTCGGCAGTGCCACAGCCTTGCGCTTTACCAGCCCGAGGGCCCACTCCAGCTTCAAGCTGCATGCCCCGCGGCCGGGCCCAGATTCCGCGCCCCTCTGAGCTCCCGACCGAGAGCCGACACCGCCGCTCCGCCGCGGCCGCCACTCCCCCCGCATTCCAGAGGCCGCAGCGCCGTCTCCTTCCTCGCATTCCTGTCCCGGCAAAGGAGTCCCTCCGCCCCCCGCGCGGCCGCTGCGAGGAGGGGGCGCGGCCCGTCGCCCCGGAGCGCACATTCCTCCGCCGCGCGCGTTATTGCGCGGAGCGCGCGTCCCCCGGCCCGTGTGGTCCGGCGGAGCTAGCCCGGCTGGGCTCCGACTT